GGGCACTCCAAGCCAGGACTGCTTTGCAAGCGGGGCACCCCTGAGAACTGTCTGTCCGGGGTGGGGGTCGGGTCCCTTTAAGCACAGCCCTCGGCTAGCCTGAGACAGCAGCTCCACGCTCTAAGTCCTCATCTGATGCCCTGCCGGCACTGCTTCCAGCCATCCTTAACCCCGGTTCAGGGTCCACTCTGTGAGGACAAGCTAGTTCGAATTAGCAAAATGCTAATTCGAACTAGTTTTTTAGTCTGGATGCGTTAGTTCGAATTAGCGCAGTAGTGTAGACATACCCTTAGAGATTAACAACAAAGTTATTTAGTATCATGAGCTTTTGTAGGCACAACCCAGTTCTTCAGGTGAGTGGAGCAAGGAACACAGAGAGATACAGAAATCCTAAATTTTAAAGCAGAAAAAGGGGAGAGGGAAGGAGAAAGGAATGTAAGAGCCTAGGGAATGTGTTGGCTGCTACTCCATGTCTGAGTCTCAATCTCTCTCCGTGAGCCAGTGCAGAAGAATAATGGCTGCCCTTGCCTAATTTCCTGTGAAGATAGGTGTACACTAAGGGATATATCATTGGATGAGTCTCATCATTCCTCCCCTCTCCTGAGTACAGGATTGCCATTTTCCCTTGCAGGAGCATGTAATCTAGGAGGAAGATTCCTTTCTCTGTCTTCCACTACAGATTTAGGAAAGGGCTATGCCCTAGTTCACATGGGGTATGTCTACACTACCCCACTAGTTCGAACTAGCGGGGTAATGTAGGCATACCGCACTTGCAAATGAAGCCCGGGATTTGAATTTCCCGGGCTTCATTTGCATGAAGCCGGCTGGCGCCATTTTTAAATGCCGGCTAGTTCGAACCCTGTGCCGCGCGGCTACACGTGGCATGGAGTAAAACTGTTACAGTTGCACTTAATTAGTTTTAAACTTTTTCCTTAAAAAAAGGCTTCGGAAACTTAAACAGAAAAAATCTATGCTGACAGAATTCTATTAGGTTGTAAAGTTAAGCATTCAAAAGCTAGCAAGAACCACTTGCCTAGGAAATCTCCTTTCAATTCTCTCTGGGTATGTCTACACTACCCTCCTAGTTCGAACTAGGAGGGTAGTGTAGACATACCCTTATACTTTTATTCTGCCTAGACTCTTGAATACTGTCAGAATTAATGCTTTATAAATGCCAGGAACTTAGACTCATAGATTAATCTTTACTGTTAGGAGAGTATCTGGCAAAGTGTCAAATTTATGTCTGTGTCAGGACCAGGGTTCAAATAAGCTGGCACAGAAACCTAATAAACTGGTTCAAAATGGTTTTTCAAGTTTCCTACCATTCTAATTGGTGGAAATCGTATAAGAAGCTGTCTTTAGTTAAATATCTTGTGAGAATGGCTGTTCACAAAAGTTTTCAACTACATTTGAAATTGAACTAGAAAATAGGCTTGTGGATATATTCATTCAAATATGAGTGATCAATTCATCTGATGAAGTGTGTTTTGCTTACAAAAGCTCATTGCTGTATATATTTTGGTTAAACTCTAAGGTGTCACAGGACCATTTGTTATTTTTAAAGTTACAAACTAACATGGCTACACCTCTGAGTTTTCTTAACATTCAAGAGTGTTTGGATAGACTTTGCTTTTTTACCCTCTTTTTCTTTACAACATAGGCCAGGTGATTTTATTCCACCTGTCTCACTCTCTACTGCAGTTTGTAATGGAAATAGCATTCTTCTATTATAATATCCACAGCTGCATTATATGGAGTAAAACTACATACAAGGGATATAAATCCTTATGCTCCAAGGCACATAACCACTAACTGATTAGGATTAGAAAAAAACTTCCCTGTGAGCAGGTTATTCCATTATGGAATTTCTTGCACCTTTCTTTGCAACATCTGGTGCTGGCCACTGTCAGAGATACGTTAGGAGACTAGACAGAGCTGAAGTGTGATCCTGTCTGGTCATTCCTATGTTCCTTACTTCCTGTCCTAAACTGTTGTATGGCAGCATACATAAAAACAGTTATTATTCACTTTGTTGTTGGCTGCACATAAACAGCGAGTGAAGTGCCATTATCAGTGAAAGGATCAAATTCTCTCTATGAATGCAAACTCTGGTATAATTGATGTGGTACAGGTGCAGCTGGGAGACGAATTTGGCTGCTAATTTACAAAGTATTTTGGGATTATATGCAATATAGACAGGTAATCTATTAATATTTAGCCCAAGTTGGCATCGTTTTTCCCTGGGCTTGTAACATGAGTATACACTAAATACATCATTGTTTTTTCAAGTTCGTGGAAATTTTGCAGGTGTGGAAGTGTTTATGTTACCTTGTACTGTGTCATTAAGAGGTTATCATTTTCCTCTCTATATATTTCTGGGTTATCATCTGCTTAGTGGGTTGTCATGAGACAGTGCAGATACATTATTTTAATTAATAGTTCAAACAGAGCTGCTTATCAAATGTTCAGTATAAAATGAATTGCACTGGGAAAGTGTTGTCATTTCATTTTTAAAAAATGATTCGCTATTTGATCCTCCTTAGTTGCCTGGGTAAGTTATTATTAAAAGATTTTAACTAGGTGTGAGAGGGTGGCTGGATTTTCTGAACAACTGCTAGAGCCTAGTTTCTTGTTTTTTCTTTACAACTCACAGCTGTTCCTTCAGTGTTGCCTTTTAACTGAGGTGGGTTAGACAAGGATCCCCTCAAAATCTGCCAGGCTGATTGATACCAGAAAATCTGTTTTTAAGCAAAGGGGTCTTGCATCCCAAGGGGTTAGCATGTTACTCCAGTTGCATGAGGCTGCAGAGGAGTGTGGCAGATAGGTCTCTTGTACAGGGTATTTATATGATAGAATTGAATTCAAGTGAGATGTACTACACCAAGGGCACGTCTTCACTCGCTGAGTCAAAGATTGACATTTTGGCATTCGATTTAGTGGGTCTAGTATAGCTGTGGCTGGTGTCTGTACTCCTTGGCTATGTCTAGACTGCAGGCTTCTTTCGAAAGAGAGTGTCTAGACTGCACGCGGAACTTTCGAAAGAGCAAGCCGCTTTTTCGAAAGAAAGCACCCAGTGAGTCTGGATGCTCTCTTTCGAAGAAGCCCTATTTACATTCAAGAACGCCTTCTTTTGAAAGAAGCACTTTCGAAAGAAGGCGTTCTTCCTCGTGAAATGAGGTTTACCGCCGTCGAAAGAAAAGCCGCGTTCTTTCGATTTAATTTCGAAAGAACGCAGCTGCAGTCTAGACGCAGGTGAAGTTTTTTCGGAAAAAGGCTACTTTTCCCGAAAAAAACCCTGAGTCTGGACACAGCCCTTGTGATCGTGAGAAGTAAGGGAAGCCAACTGGAGCGTTTGCTCCCATTGGCCTCCCGCAGTGAGGACATCACTAAGTTTGACTTAATGTAAACCAACTCCAGCTACATATTTCACATAGCTGGAATTGCATACCTAAAGTTGACCTTCCAGGTCTAGAGTAGACCTTGCCTGAGATGCTTTCATGGTGTGATGAATCTCATCAAATTTGTTCATATTCATAATTCAGCATATCTCCATGTTAATGGGCAAGTTAATTTGCCAGAACATCTGATTTGGTATTACTCTGTGCCATCTGTATGCAAGTTATCTCAGGAAGGGTTTTAAAGAAATACTGATGGACATATCAGCACTATTGTGATCATGCAGCTGAACTGGCCAGGATCTATCTTGTCATCTCAGATATCCAGAATCTGATTTTATAGAAGGAGGGATTATTCATGACACCAGAAACATGCCCTGCTTATTCCAGAAAGTTCACTGGGATATTCAGCAGTTTAGTAAAAGAGAGATTATTTAACCTTGCATGGAGATGATGGGGCCTCTAAGTCTGTTATACTGGGATTGTTTTCCTAAAATTTTCCATCATAAAAAGTTCAAAACTAGAGAGTGCTCCAGCACTTTAATAAAGGTAATCCCAAATTCATGGAATAGGTTTTGAACCTACCACGAGCATAGCCATTTCTTTAAAAAGGATACAGAAGTAAAATTATTTACTACTGTTAATTCCTTCATGTGTTTGTTTTAAGAAGTTAGGATAGAAAGGTCTTTCTGTGCAGTAATATAATTTATTTTTTAAAGTCATTCATTTAAAATACAATATGAATCTGAAAGAGAAACAGTACAGAACCTCTTGCAGTCACAATCCACTGTATTTTAACGAGTTTCTTTCATAACTGAAAAAGTTACCTCAGCTTTCAGTTTTGTGTACTTGATTGTTGTGTGCGGCACAGGTTTGTAGCTGACATTAAACCAAACTGGCTGACTCTGGTTAAGAATCCATTTGATGAACTGCATTCATTTCTTTGTGGCTAGGGGCAATTTCTGGAAGCCCTTTGGACTATGAGTTTCACAATGAGCGAGTAATAGGAGGACATGAGGCACAGCGAAACCGCTGGAAGTGGCAGGTAAAAATTGTATTTGAAATCTTTTGCTTATTAAAAAACAAAAGGGTTTGGGAACATGACAGCAAAGCAGAAATGTAGGATATCAGATGTGTCAAAGCAAACATACAACTTTATTTATCTATCACAGGGCCTGTTATCTGACCTCAAAGAGGCCAAGGTGGTCCTGTCCATGGCTTTCCACTTGGATCCAAAGTCCCTACCTCCTTAATATATACAGCTTTACAATCACCTACTGTGGAGCACACACAGGGGTATCTCTCTTGAAGAGGAGGAGGTTATTCACCTTGTGCAGTAATTGACGTTCTTTGAGATGAGTCCCTATGGGTGCTCCACTACCCTCCCTTCCTCCCCTCTACTTCAGAGTTTTTTCTCATTAGGGGTTTTTCTCCAGGGGAGAGAAGGAACTGGAGG